AATAGTTACTAGATGCTTTGGAGGAAAATTTGAAGTATTAGATGCTCTCTCTTTAGTATGGTTCTTGGGTTTTAGTTATGGAAACTATACATATATTAAACCAGTATAAAGAACAATTGCAAAGTAATAGATGAATTGCTAAATAATCAGTTGATGCTGATTTATGCTGTGTGTGTGTGTGTGTGTGTGTGTGTGTGTGTGTGTGTGTGTGTGTAGGCCTGGACCTGTGATTTCATTTGTTTTGGAAAACTCCTACAAGTGCAGGTCAGCAATTTATTTGTAACTTAGAGTTTTAGTGAATTGCCTGATCATGTAAATGTTAATGGACTTGCCCATAAGCATCACAACCTAAAATGTGTCAGAAGCAGGGCTGGAACAGATCTTCCTGACTGAGGACATCCCTTTTATGCATTCCATGCTACCTATCAACTGCTACGATGCTTGTCCTCTCAACAGCCCTTCTCCTTTCCAGGGTCCCAGTTTCTTTTTCGCTTGACAGCCATAGCCTAACAAGGTAGCCCCCAAGTGTTGGCCAGTGGCCTTCAGAGGGCCTGAGATCACCGGGCCGACAGTCCCTTAGCAAAAGGAAATGTTGTACCCTAAAGACAGAAAGTATGGGTGTGGGTGTAGGGTATACATGCCAAATCCTGTTGTGGAGGTAGCTTGGTTCACGAAGGCTGCCAGCAGAGCCAAAGCTCTGGCAGCTCCAGTGATGCATGGTCCAGTATGCTCATTGTCCTGGCCTCCTGCCTTTCCAGTCTTCTTCTACTTTACTTACCTCCACATATTCTATGATTCAGTGATGCTAACCTCCTTGCTGTTCCTCCCACAAGATGATCCCGTTTCCCAGCCAGACATTTTTACTTGCTGTCCTCCCCGACTGAAATTCTCTCCCTTCTCATCTCTACCTGCTGGCTTCCTTCAAGTTAAATTCCCACCTTCTGTATGAAACCTTTTCCTGATCCCCCTTAATGCTAGTGCCTTCCCTCTGAGATTATCATCTCCAATGTGTCTGGCATGTATCTTCTTTGTTCGTATCTTGTTTCCTACATTGGACTAAGCTCCTTGAGAGCTATTTTTACCTTTCTTTCTATCCTCACTCAGCACAGTGCCTGGTAAATAGTAAGTGCTTAATAAACGCTGATTGACTTGTTGATCAGTCTAGCTAAATTCAAAGAGATCCATTACTAAGTTGGCCACAGTTTGATGGATTTTTTTGGCCACAGTAACTCTTGAAGACAACCTATTAAGTCCTAGTAGGGTTTCATTTTGTCTCAGTGGAGGAAGTACCCATATCAATGAAAATACATCCTTGAAGTATTGAAATGCACGTATGTGTGTATGTATATATGTATGTGTGTATATACATCTATGTGCACATAAAATAAACTACTAATGCTTTAAACTGTCCTAAGACTTTTGGGACACCCTGTGTACGTGTATACACATACACGCAAACACACGTGTGCGTGTATGTATGTGTATATCTCAATATCAAAAAAATGAAATAGTCCCTATTCTCAAAGAACTTACTACAGAGATATGCAGGGAAGAAAGAATCAGAAAAGAGTGTCTGAAAAGCTGTCTTAGAAAAAAAGTGAACAACTAATGACCATGGCAAGTCTTTCCCAAACCTGTCCCAGTCTTTTCCTGAGTCACTTAGAGGTCAGGGGATGGAGTAGACAATGGTAATAGCCTGGGAAAATAGATCTAGTTAAGGTTGTAAGATTTTTGAAGGAGTTGTGATATTAAGTTATGTATGCATTATAGTATGTAGGATCAAAAGATTTAGAAGCGAAAGTTTCTTTAGAGATAATAACATGTCATATAGCCATTAAAAGTTTGCAAATCACTTTATTCATTTGAACTTCACAATAACCATGTGAGGCATACACTATATGCATGGCTATCCTCATTTTATGAGGTGGTCTTGGAGCTGGTGGCAGTAAAGATGCTCTAAACTTCAGCAAAAAGCTACCTTCCTCAAAGTGACCCAGCCAGTAGCCTGTGCGTTACATCTGCAGCAACAGAACTCAGACTAATAGGATTAGCCCTCCTACTATCAGTACAATGATGGATTTTAGACTGTTTATATCAACTTTATTACATCCCAATTCTTCTTGAATGATACATTTCTCATAAAAGTCAGAAGACTCCTAGAGCTCTGACATGAAGAGGAACATGATGGTGAAGAGTTCAAGCATGTTCCTCATCAAGCCAGTTACTCTGACATTCTGATTGAAGGAGAAGAAGCATTAATGCAGAAGGACATTCATTTAGTTCAGACTATAGAGAGAAGAAAACGCAGTATAATCAGCTCCAACATCAGTTTGAGGAGCAAAATAGAAAAAACCCTAAATCAGATTACTCTTCTTAAACCAAGGAATGAACGTGACCAAACTAGGGCAATCTAAAAGATACAGACTCCAAAAAAAAAGGTTTAAAAGACAGTTTCATTTGAATCTAGGTAGAAGAAAAATAAAGAAAAATCACTGTTCTAGATTATATTTTTTCCCATATCAGAAAGAGAAACCAGATTGTTTTTGACCTAGTTGAGGCTGAATCACAGAGTGTGTGCTTGAGTTACTCGTTCTTATTAGTCGTAATAAGTCACAGTAGATCTACTGAGGTTCAAAACAATTGTGACTTGCCCAAGGTGCACATTGTCAGAAATAGGATTTAAATCCAGGTGTTTCTGACTCCAAGTTCAATCCTCTACTGAAATCCAATAAGACATCATGGCATAGAGGATCCATGTCACCAAAGCTCACAACTTAGCTATCATCCTTAATTCTTTACTCTCATCCCCCATATCCCATCAGTGGTCAAGCTCTGTCATTTCTACCTTCATAATATCTCCCAAATATTACCCCTTCCTTCCTTTGACACTGCCACCACTCTGGGGCAGGTTCTCAGCATTTTGTACCTGGACTCAAATGATAGCCTGCCTCAGTTTTCTCCCCACTTCAGACCATCCTCCACTCAACTTTCAAATGAATCTTCCCTAAGCACAGGTCTGACCATGTCGCCCTTCTATTCTACAAACTTTGGTGGCTCCCTGTATTATCTCCAGGGTAAAATATAAAATATCGTGCTCAGCATTCCAAGGCTTTTATAAGCTGCCCTCCACCTGCCTTTCTAGTCTCCTTAAACCTTACTTAAACCCAGTACGTTACAATCTCATGACACTGTCCTCTTTGTTCTTCCCAGAATAGGACACTTTATCTCCTGGCTCTTCATTTTCATTTGCTCTCTTCCGCGCCCAGAATTTTCTCCCTCTCCATCCACCATTTCCTGGCTTCACTGGCTTTTTTCAAGGCCCAAATAAACATCCCACCTTCTACGAGAAGCCTTTCCTGATTCCCCCTTAATGCTAGTGTCTTCCCTCCACTGATTATCTCTAATTTATCCTGTATTTCTCTTGTTTGTGAATAGTTGTTTGCACATTGCCTATTAAACTGTTAACTCCTTGAGAGCAAGGACTGCCTTTTACCTTTTTGTTTCTTTTCTTTTTTTGGCTAGGCAGTGGGGTTAAGTGACTTGCCCAAAGTCACACAGCTAGTTAAGTGTTATGTGTCTGAGGCCAGATTTGAACTCAGGTCCTCTTGAATTCAGGGCTGGTGCTCTATCCACTGCGCCACCTACCTCCCCTGGTCTTTTACCTTTTTGAATCAATACTCCATAATGATATTGGTTTATAGTTATCTATCTTGGCCTTATTCTTCCGTGATTTAGGTATTAGGACTATATTTGTCTTATAAAGAGTTTTGTTTGGTAGAGTGCTTTCTTTCTCAATATTTGAGAATAATTTGTATAGCATAAGTATTAATTGTTCTTTAAAGTTTGATAGAATTCTCCTGTAAATCCTTCAAAAAAAGTTCTCCCCCATCCTCCCACTTTGGTAGTTCCTTTACAGCTAATTCAGTTTCGTTTTCTGAGTCTGGATTATTGAATATCTCCATTTGATTTTCTATTCATTTTAATATTTTATATTTTTGAAGTTATTACTCTATTTCTTTTCTGTTCCCAGTTCCATTGATACAGTAACTTAGAAAGTTGACCTCTCATGTGGCAAACGATTATGTGTGCCTTGTGTTTTAAGTATTATTTAAGCAGAAATCTTGTGATAGCACAGAATCAGCAAGAATACAAACGATTTCACCTTTTTGTGCCGCAGGTTTCTCATCTGTAAGATGATAAGCTTGGACTAGATGACAGCTAAGAGAAGTGTGCCAGTAAATATTTAACAACCTGATCTGCATGGGGTGAGGTGGACCCTGTGCACAAGACATGATTAACAATCGGCTCTTGTGAGCCAGTTCAAACAGGATGCAGCATACCCCTACATCTAATGATCCCTTCTAACTCTAAACCTATAATCCTATGATTAATAATATAGATTAGGTACAGAATTTTGGTGCTAGAAAGTACAGAGGACCTTAGAGTTTAATCTTCAATTTAGGTCAATTTAATTGTCACTTAATTTTGGGAAGGAAGGTGTGCAGCAATTAGCAGGGAAGCAAATAGGATAAATTAGCTGGTTTTCTCACACTCATAAATATATCTTTTGTGATATTTGCATAATGAAAGTTTATAACTAATAAGTCTGTGCAAACTTCATGCTGATGAGGAGCTAAACTTCTCTTTTCTCAACTCCATTGTAGTGTTAGCATTTTTAGCCAAAATTTTTAGCCAACTGAATAGAAAGAACCAAAGGTCAAAAGCCACTTGTTGTATACTCTCCCAGGCCATACCAATGTAGTGTAGTCGTATTAAGTTGGAGTCGAAATCAACCAGAATCAATGGTTTATTGATACGTAAAATATTACTCATTGTAACATTGCATTTAATTTTGCCATTTAGTTAGTACCAATAGCTGTACTACGAATAATCTGACAACTAATTTTATTCCTGTAGTGTACTACTATGGAACATTAGCCTTTCATATGAATTGAAGCAAAAGCATAAAGAGGATCTTTTTAAGGCCTCTAACATTTCTTGCTGAGCATTAAGGAACATAAGGTGGTAGGGATTGTTCTACAGGGAAGTTCTCATAAGCTGGGGGAGCATCAGGTACCTGTGGGAATGAAAAAAGAGAATGTGTTTATCAGACCTATGAACTTCGATGCAATGAAATAAATATTCACAAATTCATCCATTTAGGTCATGTTCACATTTTTCTTAGTTTCTAAGGAATATAGAACTGAACTGGGAAGAGACCTGGGTTCTAGTCCTAGCTCTTCCACTAATAATCATGGTCATGGCAAGTATGTTAATTAGCCTCTATGCACCTCATTAAAGGTGGTGCAATAGATAGGGTATTAGATATGGAGTAGGAAAGATCTGAGTTCAAATCCAGTTTCAGGTACTTACTTAGCTGTGTGACCCTAGGCAAGTCACTTAACCTCTGTCTGCCTCAGTTTCCTCGATTATAAAATGAGGATAAAAATAGCACCTACATCCCAGGGTTGTTGTGATGATAAAATGAACTAGTGTTTGTAAAGTACTTGGCAAACCTGAAAGTATATATATATATATATATATATATATATATATGTGTGTGTGTGTGTGTGTGTGTGTGTGTGTGTGTGTATACACTATAGTATACATACTATGGTATATACTATAATATATGTGTATGTGTGTATATAAGTATTATTATTGTTTATTTCCTCATCTGTAAAAATAGGGTGGTTGTACAAGATGACCAGTAAGACTGCTTCCACTTATAACATTCTGTGATTAGGAAAAAAACAAAGTTTTGTTGTTGTTGTTGAAAACCAAGGTCTCCATGATAATTATAGCCTGAGAGGAAAAGTTGAATGAATGATCAGATTTAGAGCTAGAAGGAATCTTAAAGGTCATCTGTTCAGATCTTGTTTCACAGATGAAGAAAGAGAGGTATAAAGAGAGAGACATCTGGATGCTTTCTCTTTTCTCTGTTTTTGTGACCGGGTTCTCTCCAGGTTTCCCTTCTGTCTCTTCAACTCCTCCTCATTCTACTTTGCTGATTCATTATCCATGTCACATATGTGTTTCAAAAGGGGTATCCCTCAAAGCTCTGTCCTTAGTCACCTTTTCTACTCTATCTTACTCGGTGATCTTATCATTCAGGCAGTCAGTAAGTCAGACAACAAGCATTTATTAGGTGCTTACAGTGTTCTAGGAAGGGATCCAGAGAAAGGTAACACTGTCCTTCTCTGCAAGGAGCTCACATTCTAACGTGAGGAGAGAACACGCAAACAACTATGTACCTATAAAATATATACAGTATAAATAGAAGGTAACCTCAGAATGGGGAGGACCAGGAAAGGCCTCTTGCTGAATGGTGATTTGAGCTAGGTATCAAAGGAAACCAAGGAAGTCAAAGAGGCAGAGGTGAGGAAGAACATTCCGAGCATGAGGGACAGCCAGTGAAGAGGCAGAGTTGGGAGATAGAATGTCATGTATAAGCAACAGCAAAAAGTCCATTGTCACTGGACTATAGCACGTATGGAAGGAGCAAAGTATAAGAAGACTGCAAAGGTGGGAAGAGACCAGGATATGGAAGACTTTAAAAGTCAAAGAAGATTCTATATTTGATCCTGGAGGTAACAGAGAGTCACTGGAATTTATTGGAGAAGAAAGAGAGACACGGTCTGACTTGGGCTTTAGGAAGATCACTTTTTAAAAAAAATTTATTTAGTATTTTATTTTTCCCCAGTTACATGTAAAAACAATTTTTAACATTCATTTTTAAAACTTTTGAGTTCCAAATTCTTTCCCTTCTTCCCTCCCCACCCCCACATTGAGAAGCATTTTGATGTAGGTTATACATGTGTAGTCATGCAAAACATTTCCATAAGTCATGGCTGTGAAAGAAAACATAGACCAAAAAACAAACAAAAAAGCTCCTCAAGAACAATAAAGAAAGTTTTTCAGAAGTATGCTTCAATCTGTATTCAGACACCATCAGTTCTTTCTCTGGGGATAGATAGCATTTTTCAGCATAAGTCCTTCAGAATTGTCTTGGATCATTGTATTGCTGAGAATAGCTTAGTCGTTCATAGCTGATCATCTTACAATATTGCTGTTACTTGTACACAGTACACAATTTCACTTTGCATCAGCTCATGCAACTTTCTCCAGTCTTTTCTGATACCATTCCACTTATCATTTCCCATAGTGCAATAGATTCCATCACAATCATGCACCACAACTTGTTCAGCCACTCCCGAATTGATGGGCACCCCCTCAATTTCCATTTCTTTGCCACGAGAAAAGAGCTGCTATAAATATTTTTGTATTTTGTCTTTTTCCTTTTTTTTGCTTTTTAAGGAAGATCACTTTGGCAGCTGAGTGTAATATGGACTGTAATAGAGATATTCTTGAGGCAGGGAGACCAGCCAGTAGGATATTGCGATAGTAATGGCATGATGTGATGAGGGATTACACCATAGTAGTGATTGTGTGAGTAAAGAGAAGAGGACATGTACAAGAGATACTGTGAAATCACGAGACTTGCTACATTTTAGATATGTGGAATAAACACAAGTGAGGAGCTGAGAATGACACTGAAGGTGTGAGCCTGGGCTATTGATAGAATGGTGGTATTTTTGACAATAATAGGGAGCTTTGGAAAGGGAAAGGGTTAAAGGAGAAAAATAATGAATTCGGTTTTGGACATGTTGAGTTTGAGATGTCTATGGGAAACCCATTTCAAGATGTCTAATAATCAGTTGTTAATATGAGATGGAAAGCCAGGAGAAAGCTTAGGGCTAGATAATTTGATCTGAGACTCATCTGCTTTGTTGTCATTCAGTCATTTCAGCCTTATCTGACTCTTTTGTGACCCCATTTGGGGTGTGGCAAAGACACTGGAATGGTCTGTCACTTCCTTCTCAAGCTCATTTTATAGATGAGGAAACTGAGGCAAACAGGGTTAAATGACTTACCCAGGGTCACACAGCTTGTAAGTGTCTAAGGCCAGATTTGAATTCAGGAAGATGAGTCTTCCTAACTCCAGGAGTGGCACTCTATCTGCTGTACCACCTAACTGCCCCTATCATCTGCTTAGAGATGATAATTGAACCAATGGAAGGTGATGAGATCACCAAATGAGAAAGGGTAGGGGGACAAGAGAAGGCCCTTGAAGGACACTGAAGGCTAATGAGTATGATCTGGAAGTAGATGCAACAAAGGAGGCTGAAAAAGGGGTAGTCAGACAAATAGGAGGAAAACTGAACAGCAGTGTCATAAAAACCTAAGGAGAGAACATTCATGAGAAGAAGGTAAATGACAATATCAAAGATTTTAGAAAATTCAAGAAGAATTAGGATTGAGAAAAGGCCATTAGCTTTGTTAATTAAGTTTATAGCAGCTCTTTTTGTGGGAGCAAAGAATTAGGAATGGAGGGAATTTCCCCATTTGGGGAATGGCTGAACAAGGTATATGATTGTGATGGAATGCTATTGTGCTATAAGAGATGATGAGTGGGATAGTTTCAGAAAAAGAAAGACTGGGAAGATTTACATGGACTCATGCAAAGTGAAGTGAGCAGAACCAGAAGAATACTGTACACATTAACAGCATTATTGTACGACGCTCAACTGTGAAAGACTTTGCTACTTCTGATCAGGATAATGATCCAAGACAGCTCCAAAGGACCCATGATGAAAAATGCCCTCCACTTCCAGTGAGAGTATTGATGAACTCTTAGTGCAAATTGAAGCATATTTTTTTTAACTTTCTTTATTTTTCTTGTGTGTTTTTGTGAGTGCTTTCTTATGCAACATGGCTAACATAGAAATACGTTTTGCATGGAAAAAAAAGATTTGCCAATTAAAAGATCATTAGTAACTTTGGAGAGAGCAATTTCAGATGTATTATGTGGTTGGAAGCCAGATTGCAAATGTTTTAGAAGTGAGGGAGGGAGGAAATGGAGGTACTGATTTTTGAAGGAAAGTTCCTTTGGTCAAGAAAGGGAGAAGAGATATAGGTTATATATGTGCAGTCATGCAAAACATATTTCTGTATTAGTCATGTTGTAAAAGAAAACACAGACCCCTCTCAAAATAAAAAAAAAGCACAAGAAAGAGTAAAAAAAAATATGCTTTGATCTATATTTATACTCCGTCAGTTCTTTCTCTGCAAGTGGATAGCATTTTTCATCATAAGTCCTTTGGAATTGTCTTAGATCATTGTGTTGCTGAATATATCTAAGTCATTCACATTTGATCATCATATAATGTTGCTGTTATTATGTACAATGTCCTCCTGTTCTGCTCAATTCACTTTGTATCAGTTCATGTAAGTCTTTCCAGGTTTTCATGAACTTACTTTTTTAAAAAAGTGTTACTAAGTGTATTTCAATGTAATTGGTTTGCTTTATAATCCTATGTATTTTATTTTATGTGTTTAAAATCATACCTAGGATAAAATAAAAAAGCCTTCTGTTTGGCATATAAAGCTCATTATAACCTTGTCCCTTCCTACCTTTGTAGCCTTCTTACACCTTATTCTCCTCCATTAATTCTATAATCCAGCTACACAAGTCTATTTGTATTTCTTCAAATGCAACACCTCATCTCCTATCTCAGTGCCTTTGTATTGACTGACCCCTATGTCTGGAATGGTCAGTCCCCTTACACTCCCCCCCCCATTTAGTTTCTTTGCCTTACTTCAAGACTCAATTCAAATCCCACCTTCTATAGGAATCCTTTCCTGGACTTCCAGCTATCAATGCTTTCATCTTTCAGATTCTTTTCATCTGCTGTCTATTTTGTATGTACTTTGTTGTTTTCATGTTGTTTCCTCTACTAGTATATATGCTTGTACCTTACATCTACTTCTATTATCTTGTATGTACCTAATTGTTTAGATGTTGTCTCCCCCATTAGAACATGTGTATATACTAGCTAGGTAGCACAGTGGATAGAGCACCAGGTCTGGAGTCAGAAGGACCCAAGTTCAAATCCAGCCTCAGATACTTCCTAGTTGTATGACCCTATGCACCTGTTTGCCTCAGTTCCATATTTATAAAATGAACTGGAGAAGGAAATGGCAAACCACTCCAGTATCTTTGTAAAGAAAACCCCCAAAAGGGGTCACAAAGAGTCAAACACGAAGACGGTGAAGTAAAAAAGGTAGTCGCTCTTACCCTCCCCTATCAACCTCTGAAAACCCAGAAAATATCACCCCAGAAAAAAACAAAACCCTGGAACAGTTGAACTAGAAGAAAGACGGGGAGCAGCAGTGTAGCAGCCCAGCAAATGGGTCTCCCAGTGCCTCAGCAAAAATAAGGGAAGCAGCACTACAAAGGGCCCCAGGCAGATAAGCACCCTGCAGCATTCATCTGAAAGGAGCCAAAGAAAGCAACCTAAAGTCTTCATAAAGCCCCAGCCTTGCTGATTCCAACCCAACACCAGGTAAGCTGTCAGAACCCCAGGAAATGATCCTGAAGCCCAGGTGGTAGAGCAGGCAAACACCAACACCTGGACCTCTGAGTGCCTCAGTGAGGACAGGGGAACTGGTGGAAACCAGCTCAGAAAACCACCAGGTGCCTCAGCACTCTACCACAAAGGAATCTCCCAGTGCATTAGCAGAAAAGGGAGGCAGCATTGCAAGGGGCCCCAGGCAGATAAACACCCTGCAGCACCATCTAAAAGGAGCTGAAGAAAGCTAAAGGAAAGGAAAAGCAGGCAACCTAGAATTGCCTGAAAGTTCCAGCCTTGCTGATTCCAGCCCAACATGAGGTAAGCTGCCAAAATCTTACAACCTCCAATTGCCAACATAAGAGGCCCCAGCACACAAAGCCAGTGACCAAGACCTAGGCTCCCAACACAAGAAGCTTGGGTCAGTGCCCTCTGTTCCCCAGCAGGAGAGCTCAATCTCTTTAAAGGCCAGGGAATAAAGAAACACCATGAGTAAAAAGAAACGTACCATAGATTCATATTATGAGAAGAGTGAAGATCAAGACAGAAATTCTGAAGAGGACAACATTGTCAACAAACCCACATCTGCAACATCAAAAGGGAATATGAACTGGTCTGAAGCCCAAAAAGCCTTCTTAGAAGAGCTCAAGAAGGATTTTAAAAGTCAATGAGAGAGGTAGAAGAGTCCTTAAAAAATACAATTGGCCAATTGGAAAAAAGTATACTGAAGAAAACAAGTCCCTAAAAAACAGAGTTGGCCAATTGAAGAAGGAAGTACAAAAACTAACAGAAGAAAACAATCTGTTAAAAACTAGAATTGGACAAATGGAAACTAATGACTCTATGAGAGAGCAAGAATCAGTCAAACAGAAACAAAAAAATGAAAAAATAGATGAAAACATAAAATACCTCATCGGTAAAACAACCGACCTGGAAAATCGATTCAGGAGAGACAATTTAAAAAATTGGACTACCTGAAAATCATGATGAAAAAAAAGCCTGGACAGTATCTTTCAGGAAATCATAAAGGAAAACTGCTGAAGTCCTAGAACCAGAAGGGAAAATAACCATAGAAAGAATACCTGCTCACCACCTGAAAGAGATCCCAAATTGACAACACCAAGGAATATAATAGCAAAATTCCAAAATTACCAGATGAAAGAGAAGGTGCTGCAAGCAGCCAGAAAGAAACAATTTAAATATCATGGAACCACAGTCAGGATTACACAGGACCTTGCAGCTTCTACATTAAAAGACTGCAGGGAGTGGAACATGATATTCCATAAGGCAAAGGAGCTTGGATTGCAGCCAAGGATCAACCCCGCAAAAATGAGCATGATTTTTCAAGGGAGGAGATGGATATTCAACGAAATAGGGACTTCCAAACCTTCCTGATAAAAAGACCAGAGCTCAACAAAAAATTTGATCTTCAAGTACAAGATTCAAGAAAGACATAAAAAGGTAAATGGGACAGAAAGATACAAAATGTTGTTAATAAGGGACTGTTTACATCCCTACAAGGGATGACACTTGCAACTCTTGAGAACTGTATTGTTATTACACCATGTTAAAGGAGTATATATAAAGGGGTGGATATTAGTTGACTTTGATGTAATGATAAAAAAAAATCTAATCAAGTGGGTTAAATGGATCCAAGAAAGTGGATTAGTCTGATCTTAGACAATGTATTGAGAAAGGAGGAGGCAGACAAGGGTAAATTACATTACAGAAAAGACAGAAAATCCTATTGCAACAGAGGGAAAGAAAGGAGGGGGGTGAGCATTGTTTGAACCTTATTCTCATCAGATTTGGCTCAAGAAGGGAATAACATAGTCAGTTGGATATAGAAATCTAACTTGACCTATGGGCAGTGGAGGAAGGGGAAGGAAAAAGGAGGGGGATAGAAGGAGGGAAGAAGCAGTAAGGGCAAAGGGGAAGAAAAGGAAAGGGATAATAGAAGGAGGAGGAGACTGAAGGAGGTGGTGGTCAAAAGCAAAACACTAGTGAGGGAAAAGGAGAAAGGAGAAAGAAAAGCATAAATGGGGAAAAAAGGATGGAGAAAAAGACACAGATAGTAATCATAACTGTGAAAGTTGAATCGTATCTTTTTTTTTCTCTTCTGTTGAGTTTTGTTTCCTCTTTCTGATGGTTCCTCCTATTGGTTTTAATTTTTACTTACAACTTCAGTAATGTGAAAATATGTTTAATAGGAATGTAAATGTATAGCCTATATCAGATTGTGCACTGTCTTGGGGACGGTGGTGGGGAGGAAAGGGGAGAAAAATTTTAAACTCAAAAGCATATAGAAGTGATTGTTGATAAATCAAAATAAAGTAATAAAATATTTTAAAAAAGAGTCAGACATGACTGAAAACACTAAACACAACCACAGTAACATACTCCTTGAAGACAGGGACTGTTTTTTGCCTTTCTTTGTATCCCCAGTACCTAGTGTAGTGCCTGACACATAATAAGCCCTTAGTAAATGCTTATTGACTGAATGGCTTACAGTTAATGACTGGCTGAAACTGCAATCTAGGTCCTTCATCTCCAGACCCAATTTTCTTTTCTCTATACTACTTTACTCCACCACACAACCCTTCCAAGAAACTGAATTTCAAAAGTACACATAAATTGCATATGTGGGAGAGGAACGTTTATGATGTTTTCCATAGAATTATTTATCACTTAGTTTACTTAAGATAACAAATTACCTTTATAATAGAACTATAGAAGTGTAATAATGAATTATTTTTCCCCTTTTAGAGACACTAACTCAAGTTTAATCTTTATCACAACATGTGCACTAGTGACATACTTAACATTAAAACTTCATGTCTGAAGGAAAACCAAGGCAATTTAGTCATCGCCAAGCCTTCAGACTGTGGTTTGTATGGCAGCTGTATCTCATGGCCATAATACTCATTAAAGAGAACTCTATCCTGAACTAGAGATGATGAATTAGCATTTTCTTCATTGTATATTAACTCCCCATGACTTTTGCATGTTTGACAAAGTATTTTAAAATCTTTAATTTATCCCCCACATAAAATAAATTTCACTATTAATAACAGTATTTTACCTGACTTAATGTAGCTTAAGTTACATAAAATAATCATTCCACAAAATTTTTTTAGTTATGTACTAAGAGCATACTAGGTAAGTGTTGTCTATCAACTGAATTTGAATACTACTGATCAGTTTCTGATGTCTTCCTGTTCTCAATTATGTCCCTAAGTTTATATTATCTTCCAGATTTATTGTATATATCTAATCTATACACAGTTGTTTACTTGTTGTCTTTCCCCTCCCCACCCCACTAGAATGTAAGCTCTCTGAAGACTTTGACTGTTTTTGCCCCTCTTTGTATCCACAGAGCTTACCACAGTGTTGGTATTCAGTAAACATCGAATAAATGCTTATGAACTGATTGACTTGAGGAGAAATAGGGGAGAGAATGTTTACTTCAAGATCTTTAGGGTATTCCTTTACTTAATTAGCTTCAAGGACATCAGCTCTGATATATTTTGTTTAGAAATACCATGCTTCAAAAAAAAGGGAAGAATGGGAAAAATATGCATGTGAAAACGTAACTGGTAAAAACTTACTAGTCAAAATATGCAAAGAATTGCCACAATTCTTTAAATATGGTGCTAAGATCACAGATGAATAAGCAGCCAAGATAAACAAATATAAACAAATTACACAGAAAAAATGCAGGCTGATGTCATTGGATTGTAAAGTGCATGGGTGGGAGTAAGGTGTAAGGAGTCTAGAAAAGTAGGAGGGAGCCAGGTTATAAAGAACTTTAAATGCCAGAGTTCCTTCTATTTGATCCTGGAGAGGCCAGGAAGCCACTGGAGCAATTTGAGAAAGAGTGCCATGATCAACCCAACGATCAACCCAATGCTTTAGAATAAATGTTCCTAATCCTTTCTGTGTCACAGCCCCCTTCTCAGAATGTTTTAAAATGCATAAAATAAAATACACAGGATGATAAAGGAAACCAATTACAATGGAATCCAGGTCCGATTATTTCCCTGCATCTAAAGTATGGGACTTTGTCATTATTGATGCTGGAAAACCTATGTGAGCAGGACAAAACTGGCGACTGTACTGATAGTTTTCCTGGATGTTTGTTGTGAGTGTTTTCACTTATTTGATTTGAACATAGCTACACAGGAAGAAAACAAGTAAACAAACATGATTCCAGGGCATTAACATACCACAGAGTTATAGTTGCTGCTCTCTGGAAAGGGCCCTTTGTTGACAGGGAGGGCACCTTCATCCCTGTAGTAATTCCCCATCAGGGCTTTTCCAGTACCAGCACAAAGGTTTTTGTCCTGAAATGTAAATTCATTGGTGGTTAGTGGGAGAAGCAAGAAGAAAATGGAGAGCAATTTAAATTAATGAAAAAGATGTGCCACATCCCTACCCATAGGCCCTGGACCTAATGGTAACATCTTTACCAAAGAAACTATATGGCATAGCTGACCGGACTTAGAATGGAGGCTCTTTGCCCATTTCTCTCCCCAAATGACCTTGGAATTTAATCCTTTTGTGGGAAATTTCTTTGTGCCTAAAATGAGTACAATATTAATAAATCACTAGCTGAAGTTTGATATGAATTCCATGAATGCTTTGAATAAATGGTGGCCCATAATTATAAAAAAACCTAGCTCGGTGGATTTCTGTTTCTGTCCACATAGGTACTCCCCCCAATGGTACAGGTCACACACCCTATCACATCCTATTCCATTCTTCCTCACCTTGGAGTGCTCTTGTCCATGCCCTTCTAGAACTACTATCTACGGGGTCCAAGCAACATATCTGGTTTGCTGTTGTGGTTTACTCATTTCAGTCATGTCTGACTCTATGGGACTCCATTTGGGGTTTTCTTGGCAAAGATACTAGAGTGGTTTTCCATTTCCTTCTCCAGATTTTACAGATGAAGAAACTGAGGCAAACAGGGTTAAGTGACTTGCCCAGGGTCACACAGCTAGTAAGTATCTGTGGCCACATTTGAACTCAAGTCTTGCTGACTCTAGGCCCAGTACTCTTTCCACTGCATCATCTAGCTGCCCTACATACCTGAACCTTCCACTAGTTCTTAACATTAGACAGATACCAATATTACACATAGACTCCATATATAAAATCCTTTTTCTTTAATGGTCATACATCTCTTTGATGTCTGATGTCTTTGACAGAATTTTTTGGTGCATAATTCATTGTTGATAATATATCTCAGCTGATTTATGCCCATCACATATTTCTTAATTGTCCTTTGAATGACTCTTTCCCCCCAGAGATTATGGTATTCTAAGCTCTATAGAATCACCAGAAGAACAATATTATTTAAAAGACAGGTTTTTGTTTCCAAGAGAAACTTGAGGGCATTGAAAGTAGGGCCAATTTTCCCAAATTCTATCCAGCTTATTTTCCTTCTCTAATTCAGTCCTGGGTCTAGTTTGATGTTCACCTTTAGTATCTGCCTGCAGCACGTGTATTAGTAAAACACCTGTGTTGTGTGTCATCCGTCATTGTTAGAACATTGGGGATTCTCTGTCTACTTGATTTTGTAAATTGTTACAATAAACTGCTAAGCAATTGCAAATCTCATTTAGAAGTCTCAGTAATATTCTGGGGCTTGATGCATTCAGCGTGTCCTCTATAAATAGGAGCATCTGGGGGACTTCAACATCCATAAGGATTCCATCTTCCATTCAGACTACAGGCTCGGTATCCCCCCATGACAGTGGCTTGGTTAATACACATCTCTCTGTTTTATGTTTGTTTGATACCAATCACCAGATATCATTGAACAAAGTTGCCTCTGTTGTGTTGTATCAGAGAAACTTAGATAATCTTAACATATGCAGAACAAATATCTTGTTGGAAGAAGCCTTAAGGTTACATTTTGCTCAACCAAGTGAAATAAATGCTTTTTAAATAGTCAACAAACAATAAAAACAAATGGGATCTTCTTTTTCCACACAAGGGAGAATATGTGGCAGAAAAGCCATGGGATGCTCTAGAAATTTGTCTGCCAAAGCCTGCCTATCCCTTTCTCATATTTTCATCCAAGATGCTCTTTGTATGTATATAGATTGTTATCATAAAGATTTTGCAGAGATAAGAAAATTTGTGAGCTATCCATTTAGCTGCAACTTTTTTATACCTTCTGATTTCATTTATTATAATAAGAATGCCTATACAGTTATCATTCATCCCCAGAACTATCTAGTTTTGTGTTTTCCTTTGTTTCATGGGTTGCCCACAATCAAAGAATTCATCGTCTTGTGGCCAGCCCACTGGGGATGAACCTCTGCATTAAGCTAGGTTGGCTCCCAGACAGTAAGCAGTCTATTACTGGCCATGCTTTCCAGCATGATGTAGAATTTGCAAGAGCTAATGCCCCGCTGGCACAAGTTCAAGCCCCCAGGATCTTCACCTTTCTGTCCTGGTGAATTGTTTTTCTGGGCTGACAAGGTCTTTCAAGGTATCTTACATTTGATATAGACATAGAAGATACTTTTAACTTTGACATAGACATGGGAGATACCTTTTTTGAGGAAAGCCTTTTTTGCTCTATCAAAGAGAATGCTTTTTTACAGACAACACAATAATCACAGTGGGATTTCACATTCACTATATTTTTCAGTCAGTTGTGGTTACTGTGGAATACCATTTGTGAATATCTGCTTGTTCTGTACTAACACTCTCACTGAGAATGTTTTAAATGTATGTGTAATTGATTCTCATAAAATTTTTCTGTAGATAATAAAGTAGTGCTTAGGGCTATGCTTTATACGTAGTAAGTATTTAATAAATGGTTATTGGCCAATTGATAGGATAAGTAGTTATTAATGTTCTGTTGGTTGCTTTTATTTTGTTTCTTTTGTTTTGTTTTAATAAGGTGAAAGGTTAAGGTGCAGGGGCACCTAGGGGGCACAGCAGATAGACCACCAGGCCTGGAGTCAAGAAGACTCATCTTCCTAAGTTCAAATCTGGCCTTAGACGCTTACTAGCTGTGTGACCCTGGGCAAGTCACTTAATCTTGTTTACCTCAGCTTCTTCATCTGTAAAATGAATTGGAGAAGGCAATGGCAAACTATTCCAGTATCTTTGCCAAGAAAACCCCAAATGGGATCACAAAGAGTTGGATACAATTGAACAACAACAAAGCAAAACCACCTTCTCTGTTTTTTGCCTGATCAGTTTCTACTTCCTGGTTTCCTTCAAGACTCAACCCAAATCCCATCTTTTGCAAGAAGCCTTTCCCACTCTGAAAGAGTCTGAAAGGACTCTGCCCCGAGTCCCTAGACTGAAAAAGATAGAGCATCCTTCAGTCACTTGCAAATCCTCTCCATCTCCCCAGTCTCTCTATCACACAGCCTCTGCAGCCTCACTGCAATCTTTCCATCCAATGATTTTTTTTCCAATAGGTTCTTCAGCAATTCAGAGGAAATGGTAAAGAGAAGGGAATGATTGCTTAGCATGAAATGAGATGGTTGATGTTAGAGTCCTACACTGCCCCATCCCCACCCCCAGCACACATACATATCAATTCCAAAATGTGTGAAATTTCTGCTTTCTTTAGTGACCCAGAAAGCATTTAGTCACACGACATGTAAAAATAAGAACATCTTGACTTGATTCTCTTTTTTATTTTTTACACCCTGTGCAAATGTCTTCAGCTGTTTAACAGCTACTACCTAGGATGTGCGGCAGAGTTGCAGAAAAAGACATTTTGATTTGTTCTCCAGTCCTTCAGAAAATCCTTGTGTTAGGGTCCCAGGTGAACATTTCCTGACGTACCCAGTGTGGTGCAAAGGGAGCATGTGAGCGGTACTAACCTTCAGGGTTTTGTAGCCACTGCGTCTCTTGCAATACCAGCAGCTGAGGAGCAGCAAGACCCCCAGGATCACAGCCAGGATGCCAATTCCTGCAGCCCTGTCCCAGAAGACAGATCAATCCATCTCGCCACATGTGAATATTAGTCTTACTTATTACAAAGAAATGCAAGTGTCTATTCACAGGGGCTTTCTCTCCACACACATACCCAAGCAGTTCTCCATCCTTCCCTTTCACTCCATACTCCACGGCAGAGTCCATTCTCACATTCTCCAGCCCTTCCTCAACTGCCCTTTTCAGAATCCTACAGATCTGCAAAGGTCAGGGGTGTTTTCTAAAAGTCTATCAAGAGTGTGTCTTAGATGAGCAATGCAAATTAGTATGTGCAAAGAGAAGACAGATTCCAGCCTTAGTAATACTACTACTATAACTACTGATGATGATTATGAAAATAATAAAGAGGCAGCTAGGTAACACAGAAGTGTGTTAGACCTGGAATCGGGAAGACCTGAGTTCAAATTCAGCCTTAGACATTTTACTACTACTACTACTTTTACTTCTACTACTGCTACTACTACTACTACTACTACTACTACTACTACCACCACCACCACCACCACCACCACCACCACTACCACCACCACCACCACCACCAGCACTACTACTACTATGTGATAATGATAACTAGCATTTATATAGTACTTTAAGGTTCGCAAAAAGCTTTACATAGGTTATATCATTTGAGCCTCAAAACAACCCTGAGAGGTCCTGTTGTTATCCCCATTTCACAGCTGAGAAAACTGAGGCTGAAGCATGTTAATTTGTCCAAAATTCAAGTCTTCCTAACTCCAAGCTCCCCTTGTCCTATCTCCCATCCATTGTGCCACCCAGCTGCCTCCTAGTCAATCCTCCTGTGCAATATTTCTGCCCCTTTCCTCCAAATGTCTGCTCTTCTTTTGATGTCTTTGCTTCTGAATCAGTAGCATGGTCATGAAAGTGAACATGAAGTACGTTCCTCCTAGCAGAAGTCATGGTGCAGCTTGTAGCCCTTCTCAGGTATAGCCTTGCAATGTGCAGATGCAGGGTTGATGCAGGGACTGGGGTTAAGAGTGAGAGCCGATGCTGACAGCATCTTAGGGTGGAGTTGACAAAGGTCAGTCTGAGATAATGAGACTTCATTTTTCTTGCAAAAGTTGCCAAGTACATTAAGATTCATACAGAATTTGAATTTACTCATTCAACAAATATTTAGCGTGTTTTATGTTCCAGTGGCTAGCACATAGTAAGAACGTAATAATTGCTTATTGTTTGACTGTTGATATTAAAAAAAATTAGATTTGGGTCTACCAGGGTAAATGTTTAACAACTGTCTCTCCAAAAAAAAAAACCAAACCCACAGAAACACACAAAAAACCCACACGCAGTATTTTCTTTCAAATTTATTCTATGTTATTAACACTTTCTTAAGTCTAGACAATCAACAAAACAATATATCAAATTCAAATTTATAGTGTTTGCTCTAGGTATAAATGCTCAGGCTGAAAAATTGAACAATCTGCAGGAGCCCATAAGAGCTGGCTCCAGCACACCAAGTGACTTTGCCCCTAAATGACATATAATCTAATAATTATTAAGGGAGATACAACTTTGTGAGTAAAGTTAGAAAATGCTTATCACAAATTTTCCGCCTTATGAGATAGAGGGGAGGGTGGGGCTAGCCTGTAGTGTAGTGTGTAATGGAAAGAGCTCTAGAGAGACAAAAGGCCTGGGTTCTGTAAAAGGAGGGAGGGGGAAGGGAGGGCAATATTCCTCGATATGGTCAGTTGGTTGGTTCAACAAGCGAACATTTATTAAGTGCCTACCTCTGTAGAAGGTGCATGCAAGATTAACGGGCTAGGAATTAGACCTGTGATTTCACTGATCCAGGGAATTCCCAGATAAGGAAACTCCCTCTAACAATGTAAATTGGCACCTTCTCTGTAACTTATGGTCTTAGAAGTCACAAAGCCATTATATGTCAGAGATGGGACTTGAATCCAAGTCTCCACAGTTCTCCGTCCATAATGCAACACTGCCTTTAGAAGCTCTGTGGATACAGAGGGAAACCCGAAAAATAGTCTTAGCCCTCAATGAGCTTACATCCTACTGTTGATGAAAAAGTTCTTCGTGAAATATATAAAGTGCTATATAAATATAAGTTGTTTTGTTACATAAACTGTGGTTACCAAAGATTAGTTACTGCACAATCTTCTGGTAACAGTTAATAAGCCTAAGCTGCTTATGCAATTTTTATTCAATTAGTTAATGGTTGCCTGGTTTTAGATATTGCAACCTGGCATAAATCAAAGGCATTGAAAAGCTTATGTTCTCATCTGATCCTATTTTTTATTTTGCCATTAATAATCCTAGCCAATTACCTAAAAAAGAGGCTAAATGGGATACAGATAATTTCTCAGAGAACTGGGAAGCTCAGTAAGTTTCATGCCAAAGATTCCACTTAAAACCCATCAGTGGTTTCCCATCGTCTAGGGCAATGGTGTTAAACTCAGATGGAAACCAGGACCGCTAATACATATGTAAGGATTCATGCTAGCAGCATATTGACTTAGTTTTAAAATATGATATTACATATGTTTTATTGTATTTTTAATTAATTTGTTAAATATTTCAATTACATTGTAATCTTATTTGGCAATGCTCCCAGAGTGTTGTGGGCCAGCACCTCTGGTCCTGGGAACAAAGTACAGATTCCTAATCTTGGTATTAAAGGTCTTCCACAATCTGATTCCAACATACCTTACCAGGTTTAGCACATACTACTCCTCTTCACCTATTCCATGTTCTATCCAAACTGGACTATTTTCTGTCCCCTGTTCTCATCCTACTTCTTCCCATCTCTGTGCTTTAGCTTACATCTCTCATGGCTGAAATAGACTTTCTTCATCCCAACCATCTTCCTTTGTTGAACTCCCCTCTTTCAAGGTCTAAGTTAGGGGCTCCCTCCTTGAAGCTTTCCCCACTTCCTTTCCTCCTCCCCTAGCTGGAAGTGATCTCTTCCTCCTAAAATTTTTGTGACACCTTGCATAGACTCTTCCTCTCCTTTGTATTCATCTCACTCTCTCATGTGTCATAGTTATTTATGCAATCAAATGAAATTGTAAGCATATCAAGAGTAGTGCCTACCTACTACTGTATCTATATGGTCTTTATCTATTATTGTATTCCCAGCACTGACCATAGTAACTTGCTTTTTATAAATGTTTATGCTCAATTAGATTGGAAATGACAAATACAAGGATTTCAGAGGAACATGGGGGGGCTTATATGAATTAATGTAAAGAAAGTAAATATTTAGGAATAATATACATAATGAATACAAGAAATGTAAATGAACAAAACTCTGCTTAAATACTATGGACAATGTTGGCCCTAGATAAAAATATACATCTTTTCTGTTAGTAAACTATAAACTACCAAAGAAAAAAGAATAAAACATGTACCAGAGGATGTTTTGTTTAAGTGGGGCTTTTTTAGAGAAAAGAATTTTGGTTGTAGGACACTATTTGTTAGGGAATCATTCTATCAAAATAAACATTAATTAAATAAATCAACAAATAAACTGAATTAGATATGGGATCACTGGGAAGCAGGACTGAAGTTTTTCCTGAAAGGTATCTTTAGGAACCCTATTTTCCCTGAATATACAATTCTCTGGCATAGGAGCATTGGCATCATCAACATTCTATGGTAGGGAACAGAAAAATGGAAATCAAGATCTTCATGGGCCATATAGAAACATACTATAACATCTAAGGATGTGAAGAGACAGCTCTGGAAAGTCTGAAGAAAGTGAGTTAATGCCTACTATGTATATTTCATTATTTGCCCATTTTATTTACCCCCTTTACACCATAAAGAGTATGATTTTTAGTCAACTTTCAAAGATGCGCTGTTAGGGAATATAAAATCTCTGGCGAAAATATCCCTATTTTTTTTTCTCTAGACAAGGTAAGTGAGAATTTTGTCATTCTGTAAGTTCTTCTGAACTAGGCCGTTGGTAAAATACATTGATCCTGATATTTGGGAGATACTAGTAGTATTTTATATTGCTTTTTCAAATTGACCTCTTATTCCACTGCCTTAGGGAAGAATTAATCATTCCATTTGCTCCAATATTTGCCTCCTCAGATCTTGGAATTTAGTTTCAAGTAAATATATGCTGGCTTACTTTTGCATAGTTGAAAATTATAGACATGCCCTGTATTTCAACAATCAACAGAACTGTCTAAATGAATGTGAGGTGTCAGTCTGTCACTCTATTTCTGGATCATAAAGACAACTCCCTCATACCTTCCTGATGGATGTCCAAAACACCATATCACTGAGGATACCACAGCCTATCTAACATAACTTGTTTCAATGGTGTCATAACAGAAGCAATCTATGAAAATTTATAGCAGACCTGCCACCTTTTACCAACCTCAACGAATGAGTGAACAAATCTTTTCCTTTATAGTCACAACTTACATAGTGAGGGCCCCCTATCTACTTGAGTCACAAGTGCTCTGAATGGGAATAGCCCCCAATTCCCTTGCTCTTTGCCCTGTTTTGGAAATTTCTAAGAAATAATTTATATAACCTAGCCCAGCTGCCCTAGAGGAAAATGGGAGGAAAACAAAAAAATGGTAAAAAACTGACAATGACTCTCTGAATCCTAAAATACTCAGTGATAGGTTCTGATACAATCAGGAAGTTGTGATATATGTCAAATCAACTAGCATTTATTAAGCATTCATTCAAAGTTATTATTAAACCTCATTCAAATCCAATTCACTTGCAAGTCAAGACATCACCTTCTTGATGACATTGGTCCTCTTTGAGAAGGAAGGACAAACAATTTACTATATGCCAAGCATGGGCAGCTAGGTGGCACCAAAGTGCATAGAGTGCCAGGCCTTAAGTAAGGAAGATTCATCTTTCTAACTTCAAATCTTGTCTCAGACACTTACTAGGTGTGTGACCCTGGGCAAATCTCTTAACCTCTGTCTTCCATAATCTGGCTCCAATGTGCACTCTCCAGGTTTAATTCCATACTACTC